TTCTCCAAAAGCCAGTGACCCCTCTCCTTCTTCTCAGCAGATGACCACTTTGGCACAAAAGTCTGATGAAAGCCCCAGCAAGAGCCCACAACTGAATAATGAAATGTCTGAGCTGGGAACTCGGCTTGAGGAAAAGCGAAAGGCTATCGAAGCCCAGAAGAAACGCATTGAGGCTATTTTTGCAAAGCACCGTCAAAGACTAGGGAAAAGTGCCTTTCTGCAGTTAAAAAAGGAGCAGCGTGAGGACGAAGGTGAAGGTGAGGGAGGGAATGGACATATCAGTACCTCATCCACAGAAGAAGAGCTCTCTCGCTTGAGACTGGACGAAAAGTTAACTCAACTGGAAGAGGAAGAACAAGATGAACAGCGCCTCTCAGTGGAAGATGACGGAAATGTCAAAGGAGGACTTCGGGCAAATAAACAGATCAGTCACTCCAAAGAAAAGGCAGGTACACCAGGAGAGAAGGGCCCTGGGACTCCTGGTGAGAAAACAGTAGCTCCACTAGGGGACTATAACAATGCTGTTTCAAAGCTGACTGCAGCTCTTAACTCTCTGCAGAGTGACATGCAGCGGCTGACCGATCAGCAGAACCACCTAGTCAATAAGAAAACTCTAACTTCCAGCAACAAATCCTGGGTTATTCCACCAAGCACTAAAACGTCAACTCCAGCCCCTACTCGTCTGTCGCGGGAATCAACCCGAGATTTAAATTCAGCCTCCTCTTCTCCCTCTCCATCCCGCAAAATGACGCACTACACCACTCCTCCTAAGTCCCCGAGAGTCCAACGTAGGACCCAATCTGTTCCCCCTAAAAGCCCGAAACACCACCAACAAAGTCGTCCCTCCGAGGTTAAGGTCCCAACCATCTCAAGGGCGATCACCGCACCACAAAACGTGGACCGAATCCCCCACCTTCGTCGTGTAAATCCCTGGCAATCCCACGACCAGACTTTGTCCTCATTCTCCATTGGTGATTCTGACGGCCAAGACGAGCTGCGGTCATCTGGACCAACTCCTGTCCCCACGCCGATACTGACCCCAATACCACCTCCTACCCCGACTCCCCGTCCAGCCACAGATGACACACTGTCAGAGGTGGGCTCCAATGACGATCATAGTATATTTAGCATGGACCTGGAGGCCGGGCCCTCGCATGGTAGGAAGGAGGGGTTTGCACACGGAGGATACAGCTCTGGTGCACCATCAGAGTGCTCCTTCGAGAGTGATGTCCCTGCAGGGCTGTCGAATGGCAAACGCAGTAGCCTGATCGAGATCTCACTGTCTGCCCTGCGAGGAGATGGGGAGGAGGAGGATGCTCTCTCTGACTCCATAAGTGAGCGGACTGAGATGGAGGCAAAAGGAGGGCTTGGTTTCTTTTTCAAGGTAGGTCACCGATTGTTATTTAAAAAAAATGCTGTTTTTCTAAGGTCAGTTCATTCATGCCTTTTTTTAAATGCTATTTATTTATTGTTAGGATGACAAAGAGCGAACAGATGATGAGATGGCCCAGAGACGAGCAGCTCTGCTGGAGAAACAGCAGAAGAGAGCAGAAGAGATGAAAAGACGCAAACTTGAGCAGGAAAAAGAAAAAGAATTAAAGTGAGACATGTTTTTTGTTTTTTTTAATAACTGTGTTTGTACCCAAATATAGGCTGTAGCAGTATCTTATATTAGGTTTGGTCAAGTTTCGACATTACTGTAGTTTCAAGTTTTTGCAGCATATAACTGACGATGATTTTCGATGTTCTGCTTCATTGTCCTTGTGAATTAAACACATTTTTATCATTACCTGCCTGATAAATCAAATTTGAAAGTTTACACATAAACTTTCTATGATTTTAGCAAACCTCAGTGGATGATTATTGAGGGCTGGGGGAATAAGGAGGACAGGCCCCAGACTCCAGGCACCCCCCCAGCATCAGGCACCCCACCTGGCGATGGGACGCCCCACCGCAGAGGGGACTTCACACGGCAGGAGTATGAGAGGAGACATCAGCTGAAGATCATGGAAGACTTGGACAAGGTGCTGAGGCAGAAACCCACCACGGTTCGCGGGGTCAAGAAGCAGAGGCCCAAGACTATGTTCAGAGATGACTCAGTCCTCTCTCATAGCCCTGTCAAAGGTTTAATGGGTACATATTTCTGATGTTGAATCACCTAGGTCTTTGTATGCCCTTGTCCTACACACATTTTTGTTTCTCACATTTTAAATTTGCCTCCTTCTAGGCGCCAGGCTGAATAAGGTGTACTCTCACTCCACCATGAACCTGTCCTCCATGGCTAATGACTTGAGTGTCAGGAAGTCTCCCAGGTAACCTGCACACTGCTGATGGCTTCTCTTTTATTGGAAAATGGGATGCACATATCCTATGTACTGATTGTTGAACAGAATAATCATTTTAATTCCAAAAAGGAAAAAGAGGGTCTTAAATATCATATATAGAATAATGGGCAATATATCATTATAATATAAGATTAACTATGATCCAGTGGAGTTAAATGAACTGAAGAATTACATCCTGGGGATGAAGTACAAAATTATTGATCACCTTTTAAAATGTGTCTGTAAAAAAATGTTGGCCAGCACCAAATGCCAGCCATAAAATATGATATGTAATTGCATACCTACTACATGTTTTCTGGTAGCTTTAATCAGTGTTATCAGGGGCAAATGTACATGCAATACTGTTTGTCTACTGTATGTATTGTACATACAGCCTCCGAACTGACTTACCTCCATTTGACTCCTTCTAGCCGTTCTCATTCTCCTTCTCGGCTAATGTCACCAAGACGAACAAGTGCTCACAACGGAGAGAAGGACTGGGAGAATGGCTCCACTATTTCATCAGCTGCTTCAATCCCAGAATACACAGGTCAGTAATTATTCGAACTTAAAATTAATTATTTTGAAATTAATAATGTAATAATTGTTTTGATGTATTTATGGAATGTGGAAATGCTGTGTTTTTCAGGACCAAAGCTTTACAAGGAGCCTAGCTTTAAGTCCAATAAGTTCATCATCCATAACGCTATCACCCGCTGCTGCATGGCCGGCAAGGTCAATGAGTCTCAGAAAAATAAGATTGTAGAGGTAAGCAGAAGTCCCCTGTAACTAGGCTATAATTGACTGTGATCTTTTTCAGCTAAACTCACCTTGAGGTTTTGTTTTGATTTTCAGGAAATGGAGACGAGCACGGCCAACCACTTCCTCATCCTCTTCAGAGATGCCAGCTGCCAGTTCCGGGCAGTTTACACCATGAACCCTGAAACTGAGGAGATGGTGCGGCTCACTGGCATCGGACCCCGGTGTATTGCACCTGAGATGGTTGAGTCCATCTACAAGTACAGCTCTGATCGCAAACAGTTCACTGCCATCCCGTCCAAAACTATGTCCATGAGTGTTGACGCCTTCACCATCCCTGGTCACTTTTGGCAAAAGCGCCCTGGAACTCCCAAGAAGCTTGGAACCCCAAAATAATGTCGGTAGATGAGTAAAGATGTGCAGAGGTGTTACTATTCAGGAAACCAACTCCCAACTTGATTTGGCCAGCAAGGCACTTGCAATTGTGCAGTTAAAGAATGACAGAATGACTGGTCAACATGGACGCTGAGTATAATCCAGTCAACTCTACACGCCAAGAGAAAGGGCCAGTTACTCACCCATTCAGCCAATGTATTTACAATAGTTTTCTCTTGAGGGCTTCTGATCGGCTCTGCCTCGTCTACTAAGATTGTAAAATGTAATGCGAAATAATCCTGTTGGGACGAAAAATCCTCTTTCCTTTGCACCCTGTCTCCTCATGCCTTGCCTTACCCTGGTCGTTTTTTGCAACTCTTTGTAAGAAGTAAGAAATAGAGAAGTCAACCTCACTGCCTTTGCACCGAAACAGTGATGTGTGAAACAGTGTTTCGGGCCAGAGTAGTCCCCGCCCCTTTTAATTCTGCTCGCTTTTTCCTTTTGCTGCCTTTTGTTAATGTTCCAGTGCTCACCCTCTCTCCAGTCTACACAGACGAGTGGAGCAGCTCACCGTTCAGACTGGAGATCTAAGATGAAAATGAATAAGGGGTAATTCAGCTCTCATATGAATGTAGGGCAAACTCTTACCACTCACTCCATTCAAGGGTGTTCTCACTGGTTGGTCAGGACTAAAAAATTAGGTTGTGGGTGGTTCCTCTTTGGGCTGCACTGGTGGTGGATACTGTTGTTGTCAATGGCTTTGCACACCTAGAGACTGCCTGTGGTCCCATAGTCCGCACATCCCATTCCATTCCAACTCCTTAGCTGTAGACATCTGGATGTTTTTTTTATACTATTTTGACATGTTTTTGCTGGACAAATCGCTTCAGCCTTTGGGAGCTGAAGGAAGAATGAAATTATTGAGACTTTTTTTCCTCATATCATGCTTTCTAATTTTCAACATGTGATGAATTGAAATGGTATCTGAGCTGATCTTGAAAAACTAAACTGGAAACATGAAGGAGGGCTTTACCATGTTTATAATTACATGGATACAGCTCTGTGTGAAAATGATAATCAATGCTGATTTAATATATACTGAATGCTGATTACTCTTGATTTTCTTTGGACAATGATTTGTAAAAAGTTAGTTGACCTTTGTAAGCTACCAATAAGCTAGCCTGCTGCTTAAGCATTAGTGAGAAGTATGTTTGAGATGTGAATGAGTGTATGAGAATTGTCAAACAACTGAAAATTGAAACCTTTTGTCTTGGGATTAATAAATCCTTTAGGTCACTAGGAGTCTGTTTCCTATTAAATGATTCCCTGTTTGTGGTTTTCTTGATGAAGGATCATTCCAGACTGTCACAGCCCTCACCTTCTCAACACAGACTCCTTTATGTATAACAGGTGGGAATATAAGGCGCCAATGTAAAACACTTTTTTTGCCAGTGAGTCCAAGCTGTTTGGAAAAACACTTGACCCTGCAGTTGTTTGTAATCAGGTCAATATTGCTACATAACCTGTTGTAATTTGGTCTTGTTCCCTTCATTTGCAGTCTTTAGCACTACAGCAGCTGCCGTGGTGCAGCTGTCTTCTTCACTGACTGCCTCCAACAAATGTTATTGTTTGAATGAGATTCCAATACAGATGTGCGAGAAAATTTGGGAGCCACATCTAGGGAAAAAAAGATGATTGAGTGTTGAGGCGTGGACTTAGTGGATGTTTGTATTTATAAGTTTGTAAAGAGTAGTATGTGGTAGGTAAACACTATAATTTGACTCTGTGCAATTATCCCTTAAGAAATCCCCACGTCCCCCAGAGATGTATTTATTTGGTTTGCATTAGATGATGCATTAGATGTTTAGTTTCAGGTTCCACTTGTGTCTTTTTTGGTTAAGGTTGTAAGTCTCTCATTCATTTCATAGAAATTCTCATAACATTTATGTTTTCTTTCCCTTCTGTTTCCAAAATCTGTGCCAGCACATTATGTATGATCATTTCATAAATTGACTATCCTTGTCAACTGGACCAGACCAATAAAAACCCTTTTAAAATCATCATCTATGTTTTGTCATTCTCATGTTTATTTTCCCATTCACATTGTTTATTAGAATTTTGAATAGGACTATTTGTTATCAGTGTGTGCCACTAACCTATGAATGAATGAGAAGAACAATAGCTTTCCTGGCTGATCCAGAAAAAACAACACTGACCTGTAAACGCTTGATTTATTAAAGTTATGGGTTTGAAGTACACACCGGAGTATCAAGATACCACTTTTCTTTATTCAATTAAGCATTTTTCTTTTGTTTTCACACACATTACAAACATCAGGGTAGTGCTTAGTTCTCTGTCTAACAACACTGACAGCAAACAAATATTAGTTGCTGTTTAGCTGTTATAATACTGTTAATGATGGGCATCCGAGGAGAATTAGGAGACAGGTTAAGGTTGAATGTTGATCCTTGACCACAAATGTTACTGTCAATTCTGTCATTGAACTGAGATGTGCTGTTAAAGAGATGTTTACAATTTCCAACAATGGGTCAAAAAAAGGTAAAAACTGCTGTTGTGTCTGAAAGGCCAAAAAGGGACATAAAAACTCACAGCAGTAAACTGTGGCTGTTCTATCTCGTGTCTTTAAAAATAGAGCATTTTCTCAGTTATGCTTGGTGTGCAGCATCTCTGTGATTAGAGAGTTGCAGGGCAAATCTCCCAGAAGGTGGCGCTGGTACAAATACTCCTCAACCTGGAGGCTAATGCTGCGTACTTCAGGAAGCCGTAGCAGCAGCTGGCCAAACTTGTCTGAGTGTCTTGGATGACTCTGCTGGGTGTGCTCCATGAGGGCTCTGTTTACCCTCTCCTGTGTCTGCTCCACTTGCCTGCGACTCTGGACTGACTTCACATCTGGACAATAAAAAAAAATCAATGCCACTTTTCTAATCAACACAAAATACATTCATGCATACACCCTAAACGCAGGTGCTTAGAGAGATATTGTGATATATTAAAGGTCACCTATTATGCAAAATCCACTTTTTCATGTCTTTTATACATAAATATGTGTCCCCTCTGTGTAAAGAGATTCTGAAAGCTTCAGGAAAAGAGATTTGCTCACTTTTTGTCCTGATCCATTTATATAAAAACCTGTCTGAAAATGAGCTGATCAGATTTTGGCCACTTTATGANATTTGAAAATTTCGATTTTTTGTGATAAAAGCATTAGCAATCAAAGAACAAATCAGACATCTTGGTTCTGGACAATTTCTGACATTTGTTTAGTTTTTGGTAGGGATGCACCGAATATTCGGCAGCCGAAAATTATCGGCCGAAAATGGTTAAAAAGGCCCTTTCAGCTTTCGGCCGAAAGGGTTCTAGCACCGAAAAAATATCACCGAATGTCAGAGAACAGGGTTACGTTGGTAAGCTAACGTGTTGTTGTGATGAC